AAATCAAAAGCTCAAAAAAACACATTTCAATTGAATCAAAGTGTAATCTGAATACAATGCAAATTAAGTGGATATACAAAAAAATGACTTGGAATATGGATGTAATACAAAAAGCAAAAGACGTTGGATTAAGAAATTTTACCAAAAGAAATTTTAGTTACAAAAAAATAGACTTCAAATACTCAAAATTCTCATGTTCAATTGTATTGCTAAAACATTAGATTAATATTAGATTGTAGTTACCACAACTGAACATAAACATTTTGTTTGATTCAGAATGATGAAAAAGAAAAGCTAAATCATAGCAACATAAACTAGAATCAAAATGAAAGATAATTAAACCAAAATCAAAGCTTGGAACTCAAAATCGAACTTGCAATTAGGTTGATTAAAAAAAATGAGATCAAGAGAGAAATATGGAAATAGAACTCTAAATACCAAAACAGAACCATGAACCCTAATCTCCAAATCAAGGTTTTTAACAAACCCTTAACAAACATAATCCTAGGTTTTTGACAAAAAAAAAAAACTTAATCCCATGATTTCTTTAGTGTTTTAAATTAATGTAACTAAGCACCAAACAAATACAAAAAGAGAAGGAACTTGCAATTCGATCCCAATCACAAAAGGCAAAAAACATTCATAATCAACCCAACTCTAAACTGACAGTTTGGAGAAGGAAAAGGATTCAACCCATTACCAAAACAGAACCCTAAACCCTAATTACCAAATCAAATTTGTTTAACAACCCTTATTTTATTTATTTATTTTTTTTTGACAAGAAAAAAAAACGCAATCCCAAGATTTCTTAAGTGTTTAAAACTATTGTAACCAAGCACCAAAGAACCACAAAAAGAGAAGGAACTTGAAATTAGATTCCAAGCACAAAATGCAAAAAAGTTCATAATGAAACCATCCCTAAACTATCAGTTTGGAGAAGGAAAATGTAACGCCTAGTCACATATTCTCACTGGCACATGTATAATACAACTCTTCAATCTACTTGTTACAATATCACTATCATCTTAACATTCAACAATTTCATAATGCATAACATAATATCAACTCAATGCAAGATTAATCCAAAACTTAATCAAGTGCTCACCTTTAAAGCTATTATATGACATATGACATTTTAAAAATCTTCCATCCAATTCAATTCACTTCATGATGATTTACAATATATACATATTCCACATAATTTTCTCATTATTCAAAGAACTAAGACATAATGCATTATAAACGCAAATCACAATTCTCATTAACGAAACTTTCATAATTACCAAGGGAATTACACCACAGTCAATACAATTTATATATGTATTTCACATATAAAACATAAATGCCACTTTATTCACACCGACAAGAACTCGAAAACATTGCATATTACAGAGTAGGATCATTTGCTATGATACCATTTTGTAATTATAAACTTTTCCCGTCAATTATTTTCATCAAACGGAAAAAACTCAGCTATAGAATCATTTATATTAAATGAACTCAAATTTCATCCCACAATTTCATTCATGTCCACCCACCATTTTAATTATAATGGGAAATCCATAACCACAGTTTATAATTTCATTTGCATTCAATAAATCACCATAACCTCCATAAATATTAAAATTTCCAACCACAATTATCATTGGCTTAAAATTTTTAGCCATACTTATCATTGTCAAAACAATGCTTTCATCACTTTTTCCTTTTTGCCCCAAACAGTGTCTAGTAGACTGGAAAAGATTGTAATATACCTGGCCAATACATATCACACTTTTTTTCTTTTGCTTCTTCTTCTTTCTTTCTTTCTTTTTTTTTTCTTTTCAATTCCACATCCACGGGTCTTTTGCCCAATTTCACACATCCACCCTTATAAACCACGGGCCATTTTTTGCCCAATTTCACATTCACGGGTCATTGTGCCCAATTGCACATTCACGGGTCATTATGCCCAATTTCACACATCCACCCTTATAGTGTGGCTGAGGTGCAAAGGAAAGGAGAGTAAAGATGGGAGGTGGACGAATCAAAAAAGAAAAATGAGGGGAAGGGAGAGAAAGGGGAAGTGGGGGATCCTCGACCCGCGCCCTTTTGATCCAACCCGATCGGTTTCCTTGTTTTTTCGACGGGTTTACGCCAATTTTTCCGGCGAATTACATCAAACCACTACTTGGAAAACCCTTCATGACCTTCCCTTTTCCAATTACACCCCAAATATTAAGGGATTTGGCCTTGAAATTGGGAGAACCCGTACGATAGGGTGCAGCGGAATCGGGTTTGAATCACCTAAATTTGAAACTAATCACATCCGTCTCTACCACTATTAGACCTCCCTTGAGGTCTGAAACAAAGCCCAAACAAGTTTGGGGGCGTTGGAGTTCGTTTGAGGTCGAATTGAACACACCCAAATTCAAGGGTTTCCGGTGGTTCGTGGCCAATTTGAGGTGTTTCCCAGCCAATTGGACTTGGGCAAAGGTATGAAAGTTGTTTCACTCATTGAGATCTACTTTCCTGTAAAATTTGGTAATTTTTGGAAATAGTTGATATTTTCAGACAATTCGGGGCAGCCGACAGCCACCGGTGGCGGCGCGTGGCCATTGAGCCGATGCCGTATTTTTAAGCTAATTTTGATGTTCTAAAACCAAATTTGATAAGCATTTGGTGTGGTTCACTTGTTTGAAATACGATGGTGATTGTTTGTCACTTAAAGAAAAATTCAGAATTTAATTGAAATTGAAGTGACGAACTACGAATGGCTTGATCCCTGTATAGGGTACGTAGGCAGTCTAACGAGATGTTAGATGCCACCATAAAATAAGTGAGATTAAATATTTGAGAATTAATCTTTTGTTTAGAGGTTGTTTGATAAAATAATTTGGGGAATTAAATTGATAATTAAATTGATTGTTTTGGTAATTAAAGGTATGGACAAATTTGTAAGAATCAAATCGTGGGAATGATGAAATGTGATTAACCATGTTTCTAATGGAAATCTCTATGAAAGAGAAATGTAATATATTGGAAATGAAATTATACTTTTGGAAAAAAAAAAAATTATAAGTATTTAGTATGGTTGGAAGCAAGGCATATAATTAAGGAATCACGTTAGTTAATTAAATAATGAAGGGAAATTCTTTGTTGTGAATTTGTACTAAAGGAAAAATGAATTGAATTAGAAAATCGGAGTTAATGGTATTTAACTAAACAAAATTTTAATTTGGGCCTATCAACAAAATAAATATTTCGGGGGTTGGGCGTTACAGAAAAGGATTGAACCCATTCCAAAACATAACCTTAAACCTCTAAAGAAATACAGAGAAGAGAGAAATAACCCTGCAATTAGATTCCAATCACAAAATGCAAAAAAAAAGTTCTTAATCAAATCATAACTAAACTGACACTTTGGAGAATGAAAATGATTGAACCCAAAAGCAAATTAAAAAATTAAATTCATTTTCCATGTTGATCTAGAACAATTTCTTTCTGTATGCATGTCAAGTATCAAATAAAAAAGTGTGTTACAGAAATGGAAAAGCAGATAAAAAATAGAGCCAAAATTAACCAAGAAATGCGTCATTGTCTTTGTGTAGTTGCATAAATTACCAAAGCCAAAAGCAGATACAAAGCAGAAATGGAAAAGCAACCAAGAAATGGAAAACAAACCAAACAATCAGAAAGCAACCAAGAAATGAAAAACAAAAATGAACCTGCAATTAGGTTACTTCAAAATCAGAAATGGCAGAAAGCAACCCACACAAATAACAATTGAAATCCCTAATTTATAGCCAGAGATCGAACAATGAAAATTACATCAAACAATAAAAAATTAATTGAAAACTAGTTGTTACATTTGAATCAGATGGATGCAGCAAATTCACCCATACCCCTAGGTCATATGTCCCTTATTCTCTCATTGCTCCTCTATGTACCCTTTGCTTACCCTCACCCCTTGCTTTTCCCATCTCTCTCCACAACTAACGCCAGTGGACAACCCACCCCCTCTAGCTCCTACTCTCCAAATCTACCTTGTGTCACCCCCAACCATTCCCATCAAGGTTCTTGGCTTTCATTGTAGAAACCCTGACCTGATGTCAACCTTCTGTTTTGCAGCCCTCACACGATTTCCTTGAGGAGATCGAAACCACCTATCCCCCTCCTCACATTGAATTTCAAAATGACATGAAAAACACCCTAAAAGTGACCGTTGGATTTGGATTGAAGATGGCAAAAAAGTCATTTGACTACTTTAGTAAAACCCAACCCAAAATGTGTGAGAATTGCAGGCTGGGCCCAAATGCAACAGCCCAACCTGATTGTTTTGGTTGAAGCCCGACCCACTCACACACTCATAATGGCACAATTGTTATAATTTCAAAATCAAAGCCCATTTCCATAAGCAAGATGATTAGTTCAATTTCAATCTCAACTTTAGAATAGAGTAATGCCTACTAGCACACAATAAAATTTTAAATGAGATATGAAATTACATGAAAAAAGATAAATATGTGCCTATGTACTAACACACCTCACCAATTTTTTTATTTATAACCACAAAAAGTGGTCCATTTGAAGTGCGTTAGAATTCCAAGTTAGGCATGCACCATGGTCTTGGGTTCAAGGCACAAAGCTGGCAAAAACACGAGTGATTCTCTACTTGAGAGCTTTAGAAGGACGTGTGTCATTTGACCGAAACGAGAAGTAAAATGCATTTAGCCTTTCCAAGCTAGTCCTACCTTTCAACTCGCGGATACCTCATATCTTGACAAATTTTCTGTTCATATGAAATTATTTTTCTGTAATAAATCTCCTAGTTTTAGCCAATTAATTAGTTAGGAGAATTTACTAAATTCAATATCATGTTTCTCAAAAAAAAAAAAAAAAAAAAAATTCAATATCATATGCGTAATTTTGCACATACAAATGGGTTAATTAATTAAAAAAGCATTTTAATAAAAAAAATAAATGTTTAATCAATAAAAGTAGGCAATGATGCATCGAAATTTAAACGCCCCTTTTCCCATTATATCTTATATTTTACACAATTATTGGCCCAAATATTATAATTATTTTTTTTCTTTCTAATTTTTGGGGTTTTGTCCTTTTACAGGGGGAGATAGTTTTGCAATTGAGTCCTCCCCAGACTATCACCGACTCAGCACCATCGTCACCCCATCATCACCGCCGTCGCGACCACAACTCAGTCCTCCCTCTCAAATCTTGGTCGTCGATTCTCAGACTCACTGACTCTCCTCCCTCTCGAACTCTATCTCCCAGCCTGACTGACTGACTCTCCTCCCACTCGAATCTCGATAGCTGAGTTCCCTCCTTCAGCTCCTCTGAAGTCGACTCCGACCACCACCTGACGGTCCATCTCGAAGCCAAAATCTTCAAACAAAAGGTATTCAATTACAGGGATTTAGGATTGAAGAATAAATTAGGGTTTTGTAGAGTTGGTGATTTTGGGGGTTCTTGATTTGCTGCAAGCGTGCTTTCCATCTGATTCCATTCAAGTTTGTCGTTGTTTTTTATTTTTATTTTATTTTTATTGTTTTTGCTTTCACACACCCGTTGATTATGGGGAGGGAGTGACCTGGGTGTGTGAAAATCAGAAAAAAAGGGTCATGTCGGTGGAAATAGAGAAATGGAGGACTAATCCCACACGCAGGCACCCACCCACTATATAACACCAATACAAAAAATTTAAATTAAATAAATAATTCTTGAATTCGGCTGTTTAATATGTTTGTTTCAAAAAAAAAAAAAAAAAAAAAGTCTTATATCCGTGAATATTAAAATTAAAATATTTCACATTTTTTATATATAATTCTCATCTAAATCTCGAAGCTCGCTCTCTCTCTCTCTCTATATATATATATATTTTCTTGTTCCGCAGAGAAAGCAACGCGAAAACAACGACGAAGAAGACGACGACGACGATTTATGATTCAAAAGTCCCTCAACTCTCACTGTCCATACAACTCATTTTCAGCACAGTATACATATATAATATATAATTTCAGCACTCAAAAAATAAAGAAAATAAAAAAATAAACGAGGTAAAAAAAATAAAATTAAAATACCCCTTTGCTTTCCTTGCCTTTGACCGAATCGAGGACGGGGAATTTGCTTGGCTCATTCATTCAATTTCAGGTTCTCTCAAAGTTCTTCTCGAATTTTCATTTTTATTCGAAAATAAATATTGTTTTTATATTTTCGATTTCGTGTTTATATATTTTGGGCGTGCTGTGGTTTGCTTCTGTGATCTTTGATTTGAGCTAAAAGGGTCTCTGTTTTATGCTGTTTTGGTTTCTGGGTCGGCTCGTTTGCTGCAAAAGGAACGAGCTTTTTTGTGTTTGGTGGTTTCAGACAACTGGGTTTTTTGTTTTGGCCTAGTTGGTAGTCTGGACTCAATTGACTAAGCTCGGATCATAGTGAGTTGACTCAGATTGGAATCCTTTGTTGAGCTGAGTTGCTGCTTTTTCGGTGATGTATTGTTTGTCTGTGCTTTTTGGGAATTGGTTTAATGATTGCATCCTCTGCATTGTTTCTGTGTGTATTGTGTTTGGCATCAGTATTAGTACTAAAGTGTCCCTTGACTTGAATCATTGAAATTTGAATGATTTGTATTGACCCCCTGATTTCATTTTTGCTTTATGTGGAAAGAAACATTTGAAAGAAGCTGTCCACAAAAAGAACGGAGGGAATTTTTTTTCGGCAGAAGCCTTTATGATAATGAGCTGGAATTTGACATGGGGTTTTTGAGGTTTTCCATATGATTGTAGTTTCTGAGTGGTGAATATTTGGCAGGTCTTGCACGGTGACAGGATCTGTTTTGGCTGGTATTGAAGGGGCAGATGGCGGTTTTCAGTTTCTACAAACTTGTATAAAATCTTGAAGCCTCAAGACTTGCTAGTGTGTGCTGTCAAATTCTGAGATTAGGATGGGTTGTGGGTGTTCCAACCTCTCTGCGTGTTGTTGGGGCCCAGAAGTTGACGGACCAGTTCTTGAGACCCAAAGTGTGGGTAAGCGAACTAATGAAGTGTAGCTATCATGTCTCATTTTTATTCTGTTTGGAATGATTGCAATATCACAGTTTGCTGTCCTTTTGTAGAAAATGAGGAGAGCAATGAACTTGATTTGCCTGCATTTCATGAATACACAATCGAGCAACTTAGGATGGCAACATCTGGATTTGCTGTGGAGAATATAGTTTCTGAACACGGGGAAAAGGCCCCAAATGTGGTTTACAAAGGGAAGCTTGAGGATCAAAGACGGATAGCTGTCAAAAGATTCAACAGATCAGCTTGGCCTGATACCCGACAATTTTTGGTAAGTATGTACTGGCTCCCAATCATTATGATGTCATTATATCTATTTCCAAAAAGTTCTCTTGCTGATCAGCATTCAAAGATTTTGCCAGGTTCATGTCTTTTTTTTTCTCTCCCTGTCAGTGCGTCACTCATAATTTATTTGCGTTACTCATAATGTATTAGAATGGCTAGAGATGTTTTTGACCAATAGATGGATTCTTGATATTGCTGATTGCTGAGTAACTTCTTTCCATCCTTGTTACTATTTTAAACATTATGTAATATGAATTCCTCTTTCCTGTACCAAAATCTGTTAAACTAAATTGATCTTTTTCCTCGGAAAAGGAGTTTGTACTATGGTTTACACATGAGCAGTTCAACTTTTGGAGTGTGTTTGAAATTGGATGCCTCACTGCCTTTAAATGGTTTTGTGATGTATGAATCTCTTGACATGATTTGCACATCCAGCTTGATAGCACCAAAAGAATTAATCCCCAACATATTTTCGTCATCATTGTTTTTAATATTGTGGTAACTGCTATCATTTGCTTTGATGTTCCTAAGATCATGATCTTGTTTCAGTTAATTATGATACACTTTAAATTGAATGTTCACCCCCCTCCCGTGGAAGAAGTCCTGAAAGCAAAATTGTTTCTTTCGGCTACACTTTTTCTCCCCTTTTGATCACATTGAGCTACACTAGTTTGAGTGGAAAATGACATTATGTGTGGTCTGTTTTTAGCATATAATAATTGGCTAAACCAAGTAGTTTGATTTCAAACATTTTATGCATGTCATGTATCTTTTGAATATGTAAGAGATTTGTTTACCATCTTCACCTCTTCAGCAATGCTTGCATTATGCAATGTCTACGTTTCTACATAGTCGTTAACGTAGTTCTTTTCCTCTCCTTGAGTTATGATTTTTTATTTCTTGCTCTAACCTGACCTTTACAATTTTAGGAAGAAGCAAGGGCTGTTGGGCAGCTCCGGAACACCCGATTGGCAAATTTACTTGGTTGTTGCTGGGAAAGTGACGAGAGACTACTTGTTGCTGAATATATGCCCAATGATACATTGGCAAAGCATTTATTCCATTGTAAGTTCATTAGATTCACTAATTTTTATATATAGTTTGTTCGCAATTTTAACGCCTTTAGTTTTTGTGTGAATTCATTTCCCTATATGCTCTGAGTTGAGACTGAAATACTTTAATTATGAGTCTGAAGGTTGAAGTTTCTCTATTGAGCAATTATTTCTCACCTTTATCTGATTATCTGACTGTTAAACAGTTTAACTGTTGTAATTGTATTTCTCAACTAGCTGGTTGAGCGTCTTTTTAAAAAAAAAAAAAAAAAAAAAAAAATTATTGTGAAAATCACTTGTAGGGTATCAGGTGCTAAATTTTTTTATTTTATTTTTAATGATTATAAATGTTGATAAGGTGCAATAGCTTCTTGGTTTGGCAGTTTCCCTTGGTTATAATATATATTATCTTTTTTTCAATTTCTTAAAGCTTCATATAATTTATTGTTTTAAATATCATTCCTGGCACGTTGGGATCAGGTGCGGAAACCACTCATCATCGTCAATCGTGATAATTGCTTTGTTTGGACTTTTTTGGGGTTTCCATATCTGTTGAAGTATTTATGAATCTCTTTTACTTTATCATTGACATCTGTTATGTAGTGATGCTCCTCTGTGTAGTTATGTTTCCTCCTTTTGTTTTAACTTTTGGTTCTCCAAAGAAAACAATATTTATTGCTTTTAATTTGTATTGATTCAGGGGAAACACAACCCATGAAGTGGGCAATGCGGTTAAGGGTGGCTTTATATCTTGCACAGGCCCTTGAATATTGTACCAGTAAAGGACGTGCCCTTTATCATGATTTAAATGCATATAGAATTGTCTTTGATGATGTGAGTATCTATCAATTCACTGTTATCTTCAAACTTAATGCAGTACTGTGTTTTTCATCTCTCTTGTATAGTGTGAGTCTGATATGAATTGCTCTTCCTAAATCTCAGGATTGTAACCCTAGACTTTCATGCTTTGGTCTGATGAAAAACAGTAGAGATGGAAAAAGCTACAGTACAAACCTGGCATTTACTCCTCCTGAGTATCTAAGGACAGGTATGCATCTTCAAGAAGTAAAATTCCTCAGCTTCCAGATTACCGTGCTGACATTCATTCATTAGTAACATCTTTGGCCTCTTGATTAGACGACATCATGACGGCTGAACCCTAGTGACAATCTGGACACTGATAATAAGATTTTAAATGTGATCATTGTGATGTTTGCTTGTTTTGACTTGTGATCTTATGTTTAATTCCATTCTCGTATCCTTGTTCTGCTCATATGGTTACCTTATATTACGAATATTGATCACCTCCCCCATCTTTTTTGTAGGAAGAGTTACTGCAGAAAGTGTAATGTATAGCTTTGGCACCCTTTTGCTTGACCTCCTCAGTGGAAAACATATTCCTCCGAGCCATGTAAGTCTCTTTTGCAATAAGACTCTTTCGATGTGATCAATTAATGCACCACTTGTGTCATCTAAGAGTAATATGGGAACTACTTGTGTGGTACTAGTACTTGTACCATACAGGAAGTTTTCATAGAAGTAATGATGATTATGGAAGCAGCAACTGCAGGTATACTAGTGACATTGCATAATTTTTCCTTGCTCACTTAAAAAACATTTGACTCTAGCCATAGGAGTTCTTTTGGTGATTTATTGTTCTCAGTTGAGCTCAGTTGTCAATTCTATGTGATTGCATTTCTAATATTCGGTTGCACAATGTTCTAGGCACTTGACCTTATTCGCGACAGGAATCTTCAGATGCTAACAGATTCTTGTTTGGAAGGCCAATTCTCAAATGATGAGGGAACAGAATTAGTCCGTTTGGCTTCAAGATGTTTGCAATATGAACCGCGAGAGCGTCCTAATCCAAAGTCATTAGTTGCTGCCTTGGTTCCTCTTCAGAAGGACACAGAGGTTGGTGTTCTTTTGTTCATGACACTATTATTCTTATTGGTTGTTCTTTTCTTTCGAAGTGTTGTGACAATCAAATTTTGTCATTTTGGTACTATTGATACCTCTTCTTGTCAGAGACTCTGGTACTCTTTACAACTTAAAACCAAAGAAAATACAGCCATGTTTAATGAAGAAGTTCACATTTTTGTGCTTCAATTCTGAATAAGTTGTACCATTTGATCTTGGAGTTCTCCAGTAATAAACTCAAAGAATATTTTCATGTGGCCTATTGATCTATATTATTAAGGCAGAAGGTCTATACCTCATTCTAAAGTGTATGTTCAATTTTCACTCGTTGTGGACATCCTCAACAGCAAATCATGATTAATTAATATCTGTGCTTGTATTGAAACGTTGAATAGTCTTTTGCAATCTAGAGAAGCTTTAAGTACGTTGTTCTGCAGGTTCCTTCTCATGTATTGATGGGTATACCACATGGTGCAGCAGCTTTACCTAATCTATCACCATTTGGTGAAGCTTGTGTGAGGACGGATTTAACGGCTATTCATGAGATCATAGAAAGTATTGGATACAAGGATGATGAAGGTGCAGCAACTGAGGTTTGTTTCTAATATATCATATTTAAGGAATGCCAAATTCTCTTGTTCTGTCATAATCCAGTAGGTTGTGTAGACTTCTCTTATATATCAATTATAATCATAGCAAGCATAATACTTGTGTAATTTGATCCTTCACTGGTATCCATAACATGAAGGTGCATGTCTACCCCAAAATCACATGAGGACTCATAGAGAGATCTAATTATGACTATAGTCTATACTTTGTCATAAATCATGATGGCATAGAATCAAGTCAATCCTTCATTTAAAAAAAAAATCAGTTGGAATGAACCAACGAGCTATCTATTTAGCTTCTTTGCTTTGGTCATTGTATAACCATGTCCCTCTTTAGATGTTTGGTTTTTCACTTTCAGTATGCACATTTAGATAATGGCTCCGTGTATTTTTATTTTTGTTAATCTTCCTAACAAGATGATTGTTAAATGTGATATAACTCATACCCTCTCTGTCAATTGTCAGCTATGTACTTATAGCTGCCACTCTTAGATTTTGTGATTCCCTGATATTTGTCCTGCAGCTGCATCCTGTACTCACATATGGTATGCTAATTATTGCTTTTTCTAGCTTTCAGCTTTCATTCCAGATGTGGACCAACCAGATGCAGGAGACATTGAACTCAAAGAAAAAGGGTGATGTTGCTTTCCGTCATAAAGATTTCAGAGCTGCAATTGAGTGCTACTCCCAGGTCAATTTAGTTTGCCGTCCTTTCAAATTAACCTTTCTGAGTAGATAGATGTCCACCACATTTGGCAATCAATACTTGCATTACCATATAAATTAACTTTAATGTTTATGATAAAGCATATGCATTGGGCTTAAGTGAAGTATCACTTGTTTAAGGGGCTGGTCCAAGCGCTGCCCAAGGCATATGCATTCTAGTAACCCTATCCAGAGTGAGCCTGCATAAGTATCTTTTTGTTTTGGGCTTAGTTTGGGCCAGCCTAAATGAGAAATGGGGTTTTCCAATCCTCACTTGGCAGCCTCAGACTTTCCATAAATTCATTCAATAGCGACAGACTGATCCACCTTTATGAGCACAGCCGCTAAAACTATCAGATCTATAATCTGTTGCCATCCCGACCACCTTCACCGCATGTCAATTTCCAGATATACAAACCCCCTCAGTCATTATATCCAGCACAACCACAAAGCCCAAATACAGCCACCAACAGTGTAAGCTCTGATATTTCTGAAAACTAAAGTTAATGGTGTCTAGGTGTAAGCTAGATAGTTTCTAATGTCCCGATGGTGGGATGGGGATTACTCTTCAGGAGAACTAATTCTAACAGTATGTTTGGAAAAGGAAAGAAAAGAGAAGGGTGAAGGGGGAAAAGGGAAGCTTGCTTGGTAGCGAGGAAAAGTGGAGCGGTAGCACATCTACCAGGCATACCGTTTTTCAACTTTCTAACTTTGGTTGGATCAAAGTATGGATTGAAATTAATTGCTTTCAGTCATATTTTAGGTTTACCCTTACCTAAAATCTGTTTTGGGAAGAAAAGAAGTTGAATGGTAACTAGATAAGAAGATTTTTATCTTTTCTTCACACCTACATGCAATACCATGACTACACGAGGGAACGGGGTACCCTCCTTTTCCCATAAAAATATACTAAATAACACGAGGCGAATACCCATTCCTTTCTATCTATCTCGTTTTCCATCATTCCTCTATGTCAAACGTGTGTAATTGATCAAGAAGGATTCAGCAGAGGACTGTAAGACATTCCATTAGAGAAATGAAAATAAATTGAGGCAATATTGTTTTAGAATTGTATGGTCTGTTTTCACATTTTATTTGTGCACATTTTTTCGGGGTTTTTTCATGATTGATGTAGGGCATTGAGTTAGCCTTGACTAAAAGGGGGGGGGCTAAAATCCTGCCAAGATTGGCCCTGCCAATTCAGTAAAAGCTTTGTCCTGGGGCTAGCCTTTTCCGATGGACTGTACTACAACCTCAAATTAGTTCTTTTATATAAGTCGGTTTCAAATTGGTTTCATATAGCTGACAGTTTGTTCATTTAACTTGCAGTTTATTGATGTCGGAACCATGGTTTCCCCGACAGTTTTTGCACGCCGTAGCTTGTCATACCTCATGAATGATATGCCACAGGAAGCCTTGAATGATGCGGCACAAGCCCAAGTGATTTTCCCTGTTTGGCACATAGCCTTGTATTTGCAAGCTGCAGCACTTTTGGCACTTGGAAAGAATGACGAGGCACAGGTAGCCCTCAAAGAGGGTAGTGTACTTGAAAGTAAAAGGAGTGCAAGCGCTTGACGGTTAGCTGCTAAAGGTGGAACATGAATCTCTTTCCTTTGTATTGAACCGCTCTTTTCCGGAAAGATGAGCACTGGACAGGGACTCTTAGTCAGGAGGTTAATCAGTCATCGAGTAGGCCGCAGAGACGGAAGAGAAGCAAGTCATTAATCTTCTATTGCATGACTGGTTCGTGCGTTGTGGATGTTGAAGCATTCTTTGGCAAAATTTACTGGACGGGTTGGTTTGGTCTCTTTTGTTTATGACGAATTTGCCCTTCATTGTTGTTCAAATGACCTGTTTCCAATACAAGAATGTTGGGGAAATAATCACATCATATGATGCATTTGAAACGTTATATATATTTGTAAAGGATTTAATCTTCTGTTGTTTTGATCTTGCATTGAAAAAGAGGTGAAGAGAAGTGCTGACAATGGCATGTTTGTAATTTCTCTGCTTTTTACTATTTTTTTTTTATATATTTTATTTGAAATAAAATTTGTCGTTTATTGTGCGCAAATCTCAGCAATTACTTGTTCTGATTCTATATATTGATCATTTTGAACTAAAATCAAACTTTTGGGTGGAATAGTCATGCTATGTATAAGCAAAGCTACCTTATTTTGCCAAATAATTCCCATGAAAATTCATTGGGTAGTGATTCGCATCCTAACATCGTTTGCAAGGAGCGGAACGACGAAACCCTCCTTAGATAACGGTGTCTCTTGTGCTATTGTCCGGGTAAAAATAACTCTATCTTTGACCATCTACTCTTAAAATTGAATTTTTTGAAATATTTTCTGTAATCACGTGAAGTATGCATAAACGTTGAAGAAACCCTAATCACTACTAATCTAGAAAAAAATCCAAACCGAAGACAGAAGGAACGAAGACGGTGGACGTTGACATTGCATTTCTGAACTGAAAAACCTTGCTGGATGATTGACCAGCAAAAGAAGCGTTGATGAATGAACGAATGTAGGAAGAAACCAAAAAATAAAACAGAAAAACACAAAAGAAGGGCCCAACCGGGTTCGAACCGGTGACCTCTTGATCTGCAGTCAAATGCTCTACCACTGAGCTATGGACCCAATTGTTGAAGATAATTCTTTTTTTACCAAATATTATGATTAGGTAAGAGCTTTGATAGATCAAATTGTTTTTCTTTAATTATGAATTACATCTATTCAATTTTATCAGTACATGTAAATTTCGTTGCATACAAATGATGCATCATAAAGCTTCACGTGGCATATGACTTCGTCACAAATGAATAAGTCATCAATGACATGTGGCACAAATCAAGTAAAGGAAGCTCAAAAGCATTTCTAAAATGTGGCAAAGGGGAAGAAATCTCCTTAAAATCAGCAAGGGGCCCAAATTGCTCCCAAAACTGGAATGAAAGCTAAAGCATCTTCACAAAACAAGCAAGAATTAAAGATTGCTCGCAAAATAGGCAAGAAAGCCTTATAGATTTTGGCCAAGCAAGGGAAAGTGGCTGAAAATAAGATACAAAACATGCCTAAATTTTCCCATGGACGAATCAAGACACAAATCAAAGCCAAATCCATCCAAAGGAAAACTTTGAGACGTCTATAAATACAAGGTCCTCAGACAAGTATAAAGGTCGACAATTTCTACATTGAAGGGCCGAAATTCTCACAAAAGGAGAACCTTTGCCAAATCTTTGAAGACTAATATGCTGCCAAAGCTCTCTTCGAAGAACGTACAACCAAAGTCGAAGCTTTCTTTGGACCAAAGCCAAAGCATTCCCTTGAAGAATCAACAAGCACTTGTGCCGATTCCTTCAAGACTTTGTTGAAAGCTTAAAACTTGTAACGACGTTTGATTCAAGATCAAGTCGCCAAGACCCTTGAATCAACAAAATCCCACATCAACATCACCTTTGCCGTAGGTCATACACAAACCTAGAGGTGAAGACTATCCACGCTTTGTTTCAATCTCAAAACTTGAAGCAATCGTTCAATCGTTCGTCCGAGATCAAGTCATCGCAACCCTTGGATCAACAACCCACGCATCTACATCAAATTTGAAGACTGAATTAGAGGAAAATTGTAAACAGAGATTGTAACCCTACAAATTCATCAATATAAATCTACTTTGTACACGTGTTCTTGTTTCATTCGTTACATAATTTTTGTGCTTACAATTGCTCCTCTAAAAAGAGTGATGATAGACCTACCCTATTGTCCTATTTCTACACGCACATTATAATTTCACCCACCATAAAAATTAAAAAAATTAAAATATTATTTCTCCACCCACCATTATTCCTAAAATAACCTCTAATGTCTAATTTTTTTTAAACAATAATATTAATATGTTTTTTTTTTTTTAAAAAAAAAACTTCATGCTTCCTTAATTGCCACTACCCTAGCCGCACCAAAACCTTCTCCCACCCCCATAAAAAACCAAAACCTTTGACACCTGCTTGGCGGCATCTCACTTGGAAAGAGAGAGAAACCAAAGGGGAAGGAAGACAGAAGCACAGGGGGAGTTTTCCAATACAGAGGCAGATTGCTCCAAATCGATTTAGTCCAACTGGAATTGGGTATTCTTCAATTTTAAAATCTGGGTTGTCGTCGTTGTTCGTTTATGAGTAAAAGGAGGAGAGCATGGAGGTGGTAGTACCAGAATTGAAAGGGAGGGTGCGGTGGTGTTTGTTGCTGGCGAGGGTAATGGATGATTGGGGATTTGATAGTCGTCAGTCTATCGTGGATGATTTGGGAGGAGGATGGATTTATTTTTACTTTTGTTACTTTTAGGTTTTCTTTCTTCTCTTTTAGTTTATTTAATTAAAGTTATAACGAATTTATATATGTGGATTTAAAAGTCTTTTGCTAAAAGGATAATTGTGTGATTAACATTTTTATTAAAAGGTGAGGCGGGAAAATAAGACAATAGAGTGATTTTAGTAGTACTTTCTAAAAAAACTTATATATGAGTTTAAAAATTCGATGCTATGAAGAGGTGAACGTATGTTTGAATACAAAATTAAATTTGAATCCAAATTTTTCAATGCGTCGAAAGTGATCTCAACATTATAAGTAACATCAATATTCACTCAATTTTTTTGTGCCATAAAAAATATAATTTGTAATAACAAGAAGCATAACTATTTATTTTCTCTCTTAAAAAAAACATTACAGCAATCACATATCCACAACAGAACCCAAATCCCCAAGAATGGGAAGGCTTTACAATAAATAACCCATTATTGATAACCAAAAAAAAGAGATAAGAACCAAGCTAGAACAAGCACAAATTACTGACCCCAATACATAATTCAATTTAATTTCTTCAATCCCAAGCAACCTAAAATTGGAAAACATCCAATCCTCAGTTCTCCAACTCTTCCTCATCATACTCTCCCTCATCCTGTGCTACAGCATCTTGGTACTGCTGATACTCAGAGACCAAGTCATTCATGTTGCTCTCAGCCTCAGTAAACTCCATCTCATCCATACCCTCGCCTGTGTACCAATGCAAGAAGGCCTTCCTCCTAAACATGACCGTGAACTGTTCCGAAACCCGCCTAAACATCTCTTGAATTGATGTCGAATTCCCCATGAATGTAGAGGACATGGCAAGCCCGGTTGGTGGAATGTCACAAACACTTGATTTGACATTGTTTGGAATCCACTCCACAAAGAATGAGGAGTTCTTGTTTTGTATGTTGATCATCTGCTCGTCCACTTCTTTTGTGCTCATTTTGCCGCGGAACACGGCCGATGCTGTCAGGTATCGGCCATGGCGTGGATCTGCGGCGCACATCATGTTCTTAGCGTCCCACATTTGTTGTGTGAGCTCAGGGATTGTGAGGGCTCTATAGAGTTGGGAGCCGCGAGAGGTCAAGGGTGCGAAACCAACCATGAAGAAATGGAGGCGGGGGAAGGGGATGAGATTCACGGCTAGTTTTCGAAGATCGGAGTTGAGCTGTCCCGGGAAGCGGAGGCAACATGTGACTCCACTCATGGTTGTGGAAATCAAATGGTTCAAATCACCAACTGTAACAAGTAGAATGAAAATGTAGGTTTTAGTATTTAAAACTTGTGCACAATAGCAAAATTATAATGTTTTTTATTTCTTGGCTGACAAGTTATGGTATCAAAACTCTCAATTTGGATCTCCAATTTGGTAGAAATTCAGATTGACAATTTAACGACATAACATGTCATACTATATGATAAGAGAATATGCATGTTAAGTTGTTGCACTCTTAATTCGGTTCAAATATTTAAACAAATTCACGTAATCAATGATCCAAAATGACTATAGTCTAACAACGTATCACATTAAATTGTCAAAAAACTTGCATTTATATGACTAAAAAGCTATTACCCAATACTTACAGCTTGGATTTGTGAGCTTGAGAGTTCTGAAACAAATATCATAGAGGGCTTCATTGTCAAGGACCATGACCTCATCAGCATTTTCAACCAATTGGTGAACAGAGAGGGTTGCATTGTAGGGTTCGACCACTGTGTCTGAGACTTTTGGTGAGGGGAAGACTGAGAAAGTCATCATCATTCTATCTGGGTACTCTTCCCTGATCTTTGAAATCAGTAGGGTCCCCATTCCTGACCCTGTCCCACCTCCTAGTGAATGGCAAATCTGGAACCCTATAACAAATTTATACATTTAACTGATTAAATTGGTAAAAAGATGGACAAAGCAGGTGATTTTTGCCTTGCTTAATTGTGTTTAGAGGGGTTAGATTTAATAAAATCAATTAAGACCAAACTCAAAAAATGAAAAAAATAATCAAGAAAATCAAAATAGCCCAAATTAGTCAACCATGTTGTCTTTAGTATTTTCCGGTGTTATCTGAGTGTTTTTTTCGTAGGTAAAACATCTAAAAAGGTAAAAATTTATTGTCTAGTATTGGAACATGATAATGCGGTATAACTAGTTCACATGTTATAATATGAGTTGAGATTCATATATTTTGAAGGGTGTATACCAATAGATATTCGCTTATATTGTAACACGTGAACTAATTATACCACATGGCGGTATTGCAGTACTCAACAATAATTCTTCCAGACTAATTTTGATCCATGTTTAGAATCTAGGAAAACCACATTTCTTTTCTATTGGACCCAACTTTTCTACAAATGTACGATCACATCAATTAGGACTCGGAAAAAAGAAGAATTAGAAAGAAAAAAAAAAAAGGCCAGCAATCCCAAATTAAATACCTTGTAAACAATCACAATTCTCAGCCTCTTTTCTAACCACATCAAGAACAGCATCAATCAACTCAGCTCCTTCTGTGTAATGCCCTTTAGCCCAATTGTTTCCGGCTCCATTCTGGCCAAACACAAAGTTGTCCGGCCTGAAAATCTGCCCATAAGGACCAGTTCTTAAGCTGTCCATCGTCCCCGGCTCGAGGTCCATCAGCACTGCCCTAGGCACATATCTTCCTCCATTTGCTTCATTGTAGTAGACATTTACCCTCTCAAGCTGAAGGTGGGAGTTCCCGTTATATTTTCCGGTGGGATCGATCCCATGCTCGTCACACATCACCTCCCAAAACTTCCCTCCAATTTGGTTCCCACATTGTCCAGCTTGAATGTGCAAGATTTCTCTCATTTTCTAAACCGTACTACAAAAATAAATAAGTTAGGGTTTATGGGGAGAAAGAGAAAAGAAAGGTTGAGAGTGGAAGGGAAGAACAATGGAAAATTATAATTGGTGATGGCCTTTTTGTAGTTGCTCAAGTCTCTTGATTTTTTTCTTCTTCTTGTTGAATTAAATGAAAATATATAGCTATTAATAATATCATTCAATAATTTCATGTGGGTTTGTTCAGAGTGGCATGTCAAAACTCCAACAAGGAGTTGTGAGCTGGATAAGGGAAAACGACAAGAAGATTCATGCTTGCTCATTTCATTTCACTTCTGTCATTACTTAGGACATTCCTAAAATGCCCATTTCTTAATCTGGGGGTTTTGATCCTTTCTCTCACCTAATTTGAGTTAATTATTTAACACATTATGAGGATTATTGTCATTAATATGCTATACTTATCCTCTGTTTTAGTATAATCAAAGATATGTTAACCCAACGAGGAATGCTATATTAATTCAAGGGTGGAAGTATATGAAAGTATTATATGTTATGACAAGAACAACTCATACATCATACGTGCACATGTACGTAGAGGTTATGTATACTTGATTATGCGGTTGTTACATATTTTTGACAAATGAGTTGAGGACAGTTGTTTATGTACATGTGAATAATTTCTTGAAGAATGTAATTTTACATTGGAAAAATGACAAATGAATTATTTCACTACTAAAAACATTGAGGCTTTTTTTGATAAAGCCCAACACATGTCGTGTGTGTAGGCGGTTAAGTTGCGACAATATTAGTGTGATTAGTAGTGGATCAGTAGCCTGATTCTAAAATCTTGACATGGTATCATAGCAGATTTTTCTGACCCGATTGAACGTTCCAGTTGTGAACAAGACCCAACCCGGACGTTCTAATTGTGAACAAGACCTTGACTTGGATTGACCTGAAGAGGAATCTTGGTTGAACTTGTGGCCCACAAAAAAATGATCCCACGTGAGGAGTGTTGAAAAATGCCATCTTGCATCAGAAACATGGCATAAATACATCACTATTTATCAATGAATGGTTTCACTACTGATGATGCATGTCAAGCTCTGCATGTGATTAAATTGATACAATATCGGTGTTATTAGTAGAGGACCATTGACCCGACTCTAAGATCTTGACATAATTGTAAATCATTGATGAATATATGGTCATCAACAGTTGACATTCAGAAGCTTGTTGATGCCTAAAATTAGCAAATAGCATCAGTAAAAATTGGTCTCTCTACAAATATGATGAAAGAAAATAGAAGAGAAATCACTTGCTAAGTTTAAAATGTCCATGCAGACTACTAATTCGCCAATGCATCAAACATTGATGAAGAAGACCATCAACAAGAATTTGGAAATCTCCTCCACACATTTTGCTCATGTATGTTGAAATCAAAGCTCCTATTTATTTATTTATTTTAAAATAATGCTTACTATATTCGAAAATTTTGTTTTCGTACATGCCATGCATATTATTCGCAAAGTATTCATAAACAGATTTCTACCAAGAAATTATTTTCATAATTAAACAGATATTCCATCTAGTTTTTATTTTATTTTATTTATTTATTTTATTTTATTTTTGTCAAACGAAAGATTTGCTAGAGTAGAAATTAGATTAGGGAGTTGACGGAGTTCGAAGCTACACTTTGGTGCAAGGGCAACACTCCTCTCCACTACTGTGGTAAAGGGTCACTTGCACAAGTCTACGGGGTTCCATCTAAATTTATTAAAGTTTTTTTTATTATAGATATCGTGTTATGGCTGATTTGATCTGCCTACCCAGAGATTGAAAACATGTCCTAAAAACAAAGTAACTTAGATTTACGTTACTTTGATCCTATACCAATTAGAACGAGACATATTATCTTTCATAATACTGTCTAATTATGAACGGTAACAAATTTCGCAATAATCGAGCTTTTCTTAGTCAATGATCTATTAAGTTATGACTTTCACCAGAAGAACGTGATTTCCAGATAAGTTGAGGTGCCTTGTGGCAATGTATACGTATACTATAATGTGTATATATTTGTACGAGAGAGAGAGAGAGAGAGAGGCAATTATTGGATGCAATCCCTGCATCTGTTTCCAATTCCAACACCCCACTAGGACTAGTTGCCTTGGCTGCTTGGAATCCAATGTTGACGGTTGAGCTTACTCTAATTAAACAAAATATAATTCTTAATTAGGTTAGTGTTGATTTTTCCCACTAATAATCTTCACATCAATTGCGATTTGTTTTCTTAAGGGGAAAATAAAAGCATTTATCAGCTTAAAAATTTGGGAACTAGTGGGTTGTAAAATATGATATCAAAATTTTGGTTGTTGGAGGTCTTGAATTTAAAATTCCCATTTGTCAAATTTTTTTAATTTTTTTGTCAATCTGTAAGGTGCAGTAATTCTGTAATTGCCATGATTTTGATATGTAAGGGTGCTGATTTTTTTTTTCTTCCCAAAATTGGAACCACATATATATAAACATGCAATTTGTGGGAAACTTCATAGTCTAATCAATTGTTTGATAACCATTTTATTTTGTCGTAATATAAACAAAGGTATTAGGAATGTGGGAGGGAGGAAAAGAAATAATAAAAATAAGTGAAAAGAAAATTTCGAAAGTGAAAACAACATCAAAATAGTTTTTAGTTTTCATTATGTACTTTTCCATCTCTTCTATCATCTTTCATCCGCTCTTTTACATTTTTCGATTTCCTCATATTTTCCTCTATTATTAACACAAAAATAAATATAAAAAACAAATTAATTATCAAATGACCCTAAAATAAAAGTAATCCAATAACATATTACTAACTCAATTATACTAAAACTTCAAAATGTAAAGGTAGAATAAGAGAGGGGAGAAGATATCATGGGCTGTTGGAGCATCTTATATGCATACATACGTTTGGTGAACCATCCACATCTTAAGCTATCACAAAATTATGCTGGGATGTTCCCTCGACAGCAACCACACACCCATCAATCCAGTTGGACAGATGCATTTGGCATATCTCGCACACCCCTCCCATCTATTCTTCTCTTCTTGTATATATCCATTTCAACCCTAACACTTGCTAATTACCTATATATCCAAATTAATTAACAGATTACAATTAAGCTCTTAGATTTACAAATACGCTCAAGACTACATGTTTACTTACTTTGAATGAGATGGATTATGAAAGCAAAAATTAGGGGAGAGAAGGAATATGGATCATCAGATCAATTATCCTACCATAATCAATCTAGTTTCTTACTTTTTAGGTGTTGATTATGGAGTGTAATGTGGAACTCACATACTTTTTGATTTCATATATGACAATTATTTTATGATTGTCATGAATCGGAATAATTTTAATACACATGCGAACATAAACACAATAAAAATCAATAAACTGAGTATTAAGACATTGGTAAATTGGTGCAGAAGCACAAGAAAAAAATAAAACATGATGGTAATATGTAAGTACTTGGACAGGAAACAGGAGCACATGGCACATATAGGTAGCCACATGACCTGGGCTTGGATTGCCACAACAAATCATTAGCTAGGTAGGACAAACAAATGAATTCATATCAAGAAAATTTTCTTTTTTCGGACCAACTATTTCATAAAGTTGAAGTTTCATTATAAACTTAATTGGCAATATAGAAAGTGTAGTCCAATTACTTATAAGTACATGTAAGTCCCTTATAAGTACATAGATCAATCTAACTCAAACTTCCCTTCCATATTGCAATAAGATAATATGATTTGTGTCCCCTTCATAAAAGCTAATATTGAATTTTTTTTTTATTTAATGAAAGGATGATAATAGATTAGGCTAGTCGATTTGCACATAATGTATGGTTGTCGGACCACAAAAATAGCCTTATTCTTTAAATCCGCACAAGACAGTTAGAAAGAACCAAGACTTCGGAATTGACTCAAAACAATTAAAAATGGTTAAACACCCCAACAGAACGACTACCCTAGCTTGTATATTGAAATTGGTATGCCAACTTGAACAGGGAGTTGTGTATTCCAAACCCGAACAGGGTATCATTCATTATTCTCATTCACGATTTTTCAAGTACATGAACATGCGCATAACCATTTTACCTTTTCAAGTCAAAATATATGTCTAATCCATCCCCAAGCACAAATTATATAAACACGAGCAACATACATTTGAATCCGTTTAACTAATCAAACGTCATTAGCATTCACTGAAGCTGCAAGTTTGTTAATCTTCCAAAGAACAGATGAAAAATAAGTAAATGAGAGGCATGGATGATTCTTTTTCAATCTGAGTTTGGGCTGAAAATTTGAAACAAATGCAAGCAAGGGGTTTTATGAAAAAAATGCAAGGTAAAGGGTTGAGTAAAAAAAAGTGGGCTGCAACAAAATGGACTCCTGTCCGGTACTTTCTGTCACATAACACATGTTAGGGTTTGTCATTCCCCATTGTTGCTTTTACTGTCCTGTTGAGATTTGTGTCGATTAGTACTTGTCTTTAATGTATTGTTAACGATTTTTTTTTTCCAATAAATAGTGTTTATTTGTTTTTTAAAAAAAAAAAAAAACATACCAATGGGTTGTCCAGATGAATTCAACCCAAGAAGTGTTCGTATTATTTATTTTTAATCTTCCATTTTACATAACCTGACGCCATGATCTGATTACATTCATTGAAATTAGATGAAAAGCCTCATGCCTAAACTAAATTACACACCAGGAAATTTGCAACGGCTCCACTGCTGCAGTGCCTTCCACCTGATCAGCTTAGTAGCTCCTCAAAGATAGGCTCTATATTTTGTCCCCATTGCTTGTAATACAAATCCAACAGCTTCTCTGCTGGTGTTACACCTGCAATATACAATTAACGTTCCTTATAAATACCGATTTATCTGGTGATTTAAAACGAAAAAACTATTAAAAATGTGTCTAAACTCCTAATTACAAACCAGTTCTAGCCACCTCCACCAAGTCATTCAAAAACCGTGATTCATTAAAGCCTCTTCTTTCCAGGCCAGCCTGCAGAAGAATGAATAACTCTATGATTCAGTCGCACAAAGCACCACAAGAGCAGCAACAAGCTAGTAAAGCGTGACTTACCTTTGCGAATTGTACCACATCTTCAGCAACATGCTTTAGCAATCGGCCACGAAATGGTGTCATTAGACCAGTTTTAGGGACCTACTAATTAAATGCCATTATACAATAAGATTTGGAAACTTAATCATTGTAGTAGAATGTAGGAGGCCTGTAGAAGAATAGGCTTTTGTTCTTGTAGTATTTCACTACTTCACCTGATTTCTCAGCATCTGTCTTTCTTCAGCTGTCCAGTCGGCTATCAGGTCTAGTACATTTTGTAAGGAAACCTCATCATACAACAAACCAACCTGACATTCGAAACGAAAACAATCAGCTGGCATTCAGATATGTAAATTAATGCTAGTAGATACAAAATGATAAGTATTTGCACCCTCTCTTATGAGAAGATAATGTTGAAAAGTGACCAAATGATGACAAGTTATGTGTAAGGAACCAAATGCTGCTTACCCAAAAGGCAGGCAAAGCTTGTAATCTACTCCACGGTCCTCCATCAGCACCCCTCATCTCCAAGTATCTCTTCAGCCTAACCTGAATGGAAAGAGCAACATGGCATGATTGGGCAACAACATCGCAAAAACAAAAGCTATCTCATTATTGACATTATTATGAACCTCGGGATATATAGTTCCCAAATGCATCTCCCAATCATTGAGGGTTGGCAATGCACCGGGAATGCAACTAAGCTTTCCTGCCATGAAGTCCTGCATGAATACAACCACACTATATTTTTAACCACTCAGTAGCTTGAGGCAAATAAAGACTGCAGGCTACAGCTACAGAAGAAATTAAGCCTCAAATTACAAGACTATAAAAAGGATAGATGGAAACCCGGAAGGTCATCCCAGTACAGTCAAAATGCCTCTTGTTCTGATAAACGAAGTACATGGGGATATCGAGAGCATATTCAACATACTGTTCGAACCTGCATACAAAAAAACAATTTAAGAAAAGAAAAGAAAGATAACACCAGCGAAATGCATTTAAAGGCTTGTACACCTATGAAAAACAAAAAATATCTTACCCAAAGGATTCCTCAAAAACAAAAGGAATCATGCCAGTGCGATCGTTGTCAGTATCGGTCCACATTTGGCTGTTAGAAAAAGTTGAAGATTCAATACAGACCCGTGTACCAACCAATAAACATAGAGATGCCATGAAGAAGAGAGAATTGTGCTGAAATGACATCTCCAATTTCATAAGACCAGAAAATTGAGAATCAAAGGAACCTTCTCATGCTAAGAAAACCATTTGGCTTTCCTTCAGTGAAAGGTGAATTTGCAAATAGAGCTGTTGCAATCTGTTCCATTTGTTGAAAAGTTAGATACCATATAAGCAGAAAAATGTACACCGAAAACAAGTTCAGTGTTCTCACAGGCTGCAAAGCAAGACTAGCGCGAAGTTTCTTTGTCATGTCCTCTTCAGAACTAAAGTCCAGATTAACCTAAAAAAAAATGAACAAAGAAGTTGTTCTTAGTTTAAAAGATACTGCCTCCTGATCAGCTTAGCTTGTAAAAATCATCTAACCTGTGCAGTGCAAGTCCTGAACATCAAATCAAGTCCAAGAGAGCCAACTTTGGGCATGTAATTCCTAATGATCTCGTATCTTTCCTGAGCCAAAATATACTCGATCAGTATGTAAGTAATTAAAATACAAAATGGCAGCATGAATTTGAAAAGGAGTCTTTGATATGTAACCAAAGTTCAACAATACCTTAGGCATCATAGGTATGTCTTTAACTTCCCACTTTGGCTGACAACCAATATCCATCAATCCGATTCCCATTTCGTTTAGAACTTCTTTAACCTAGTAAAAAGGAACATATGGAGAAGTTAACTCAAACAACAAATCAGAAACTCCATTTGTGAACTAAATTTTATCTGAGAGAACATTATGCTTACAGTGTGAATCTTCTTGCATAGTTGCATGTGAATGCTAAAGCAAAAACTATATTTTCGCTGACCTGATAAAGATGTGAATTGACTTCAGCACAAATTTGATGCAGAGTTTCAAGAGGTGCACCACTATGCTCGAATTGACCTCCCGGCTCCAGCGTTATGCTTTGCTTACCCTGGCCGACAATGTCATGCATTGTCTTTAAAAATCACACAAATATGGAAAGGGTTTCTTGATAGGCAAGAAAAAGAAACAAAAAATTATAGCAATTTTACCTGTTTAAGTGCAATAATGTTGTCCCCTTCCATAATTTTTTCCCAATCAAACCTCTCAGCAATCCCATTAAGCAACTTAGCAATGTGTTCGTATGTCATAGGACGTAAAGTTTTCAGATCAAAGCCAAACCTCTCCTGTTCAGTGCCAATTCTGAAGATGGAGCAGGACTAAGTATAAGAATTAGGGCAATATATCCAAAAGACAAAGCGTAGCTAGTGAGAAAGCTAAGATACAAAGTATAACGAGCGGAATTATCTTGAATCTCAAGCCACATGGAAATAATTTTGATCAACATAAACACATAATGCAATATAGTTATTGTTAGAGTATTTAAAATTGTAATGTGTTGATGCAGAAGCTTAGATTCACAAGGATCAAATACGAAACACATAATGCAATATAATTTCGTTGGGTACTGTTTGTATTTAATTTTAAATAAAAGTATTCAAAATAATTGTTGACTGCACGATTTACAATGAACATATAGGATGTAAGAGAGTCTCGCACTCACAACTTGTAATCCTAGCCATCCATCTAATCTAGCGTATGAGTTTTAGACAAGGGGCAATTCCTTATAACAAACTGAAAAATAACAACTCTTTTCTATTACCTTGCATATAAGCTAAAGTAAATTTATATATAAATCAAATCAACCATTTGATTACCTCCATTTTTCCTTAGGCTTACATCCAGAGGCAAGATGCCCTATAAGATCCTCTTTTGTCAGTGGCTCGGTAGCTATTACAGCAGCTTCTGTGGGAGGACTTGCAGCAACTATCACACTGGGTCGCGGTTTCATCTTCCCCACTCTTGCATTGTATGCATATGAAATCTTCGTCTTCCTAGCAGTATAGGGTGGTACGAAAGAGAAGTGAATGCAGGATGATGAACCGGTCTGTGAAACGAGTGCCATGTGTGACAAATGATTGTAACGATCTTCGATCTTTCTTGACAAGATTACGGTGACCCTTAAGGAATGAATATATATATGTATGTGCACGTGCGTCATGATAATGTACACTATTTCACAACTTCTCGTGATAATGTAGACTATTCGCCAACTTCTCGTGATAATGTACACTATTTCACCAACTTCTCGTGATAATGTACACTATTTCACCAACTCCTGCATTTCTTTATAGCCATTGCCACTCTTCTGCAGATTAGGAAGGAATGAATGAATAAAGTAGAGTTACATTACGCCCTTGCATGATTAACACGTGAGGATTAATATAATGCAATCTTTATCTTACTTTTCACAATGAGTTTCTCGCTCTCTATAGAGTTTATAAAGACATCTTAAAGTATCAGCAATAATTAAGCATAAACAAAAAGCTACTATAGTCCCGGCCCGAGCAATAGAACATTGTTTGGCTTCTTACTTATTAGGAACTGTTAGTGATACAGTACCAAAATATCTTATTCAAGCCACAAAATGAAAACTTTTATGTACATGTCATAAAATAATTGGTCTGCAATTCTAAAGAAAATTGCCTCTTTATATGTAAGGAGTCAAATATTTTCAAGATGGTTCACTTGGCTGCAAAAAGTGCATGGCTCCTTGCATCTGTCTCTCTTTTCCCGTGATGTCAAAAGAGAATTTGATAAGAAAACTCCATAATAAACTCCACTAGAAAAATCAACTGTTCCTTTCTTAACAGATACACACACATAAACTAATCCTAGCTAAGGATCCAATAATTGCAGCTGCAGCTCCTACATTTCACCTACAATTATAATAGGGATCAATTTGTAATTCAACCTTGGAAAATGCCACGTTAAACATGCGGGGGATGACACCCGAATATGCCAAATAAAATTTTCAGAAATGCGTTTCTGATTCTAAAAGCTTGTATAAAATCCAACAGGATCCTCTTCCGATCCTTTTGGTGAGGATTTTGAGGATTTATAAATTATATCCGTTCATCGTACATTGTAAGGTTAGTTTTTATAAGGTACTGTTTGTGCTTAATTTAAAATAAAAATATTTAAAATGATTTCTTACTGCACGATGTACGATAAATGGACACGATTCACGGATCCCCGAGATCCTCACAAAGAGGATCCAACGAGGATCCAAATTCGTATAAAATATTGAAGAAATTTAAGTCGATTGTTGAGAAAACAATAGTAATATGATCATTGAGAGAAGACTATTTTTTGCTATGCTCTTATAACTTGAATTTAACCTTACTTTTTTTAAAACTAAATATCACTACTTTGCACCTTGGAACTCAATATTCGCTTCACTTTAGTGAGATTCCCTCAATTTTGTCATAAGGAATGAATAGTAATGGTGAACACCCTTGGGATCAATAATGACGATCCCAGCTTCAATAGCATTTTGAGTGCAAGATCCATCAAAATACAACTTCCAAGGAGTGGTCCAAAGACTAGCTATCCTCTTTATCTCTTGCTAAATCCATTCCTCTTTTCCCGAGAGAGCTCTACTTGGTGGGATCCAAAGACTGGCCACCTCTAGAGTTCATGGGATGTTAACTAGTTCATCTTGTGGTTCTTGGTGCTTGGTCAAGAAATCTACAATTGCTTGCCCCTTTATTGCTCTTTGAGGCACATATTGAAAACTGAACTCCGATAGTGCTAGAATTCACTTTCCAATCCTTCCAACTAGCATTGGTTTTGACAACATGTATTTGATTATATCTGTCTTGGCAATAATGTGGATGTGGCAAGGCAACATGTAATGCCTTAACTTGCAGGCAGTGAAGTACAGAGCCAAACACAACTTTTCCACTAGGGTATATCTTATTTCTACCTCAGTAAGGATTCTATTAAGGTAGCATATTACTTGCTCATTCCCACCTTCATTGTTTTGGGCCAACAAGCTTCCTATTGACTTTTTAGAGGTAGAAATATAAAGCTTTAAAGGCTTCCTTCTATGAGGTGGCATGAGCACTGGTGGAGAGGCCAAGTAAGTCTTTATTCTGTCAAAGGCCTCTTGGTGTGGTGGGCCCCACTCGAACTCTTCTTTATCTTTCAATCTTAATAGAGGAGTCAACGACTGAATCTTGCTTGCCAAGTTACAATAAATGTCCTCAGGAAGTTGATTTTGCCCAGCAGCCTTTGCAGTTGTACTTTATTGGTGGGAACCCCAAAAAGTTGCCCAATCTTACCCCCAAAAGCACATTTCTTAGGATTCATTTTCAACTTATGGATCCTCATTCTTGTTAAGGCTTGTCTGAGGTTTACTAGGTGCTGTTTTTCAATTTTAGACTTCACCATAATGTCATCAATGTATACTTCCATGCTATGGCCAATCAAGTCATGAAAAATGGCATTCATTGCTCTTTGATAAGTTGCACCAACATTTTTGAGTTCGAATGACATTATTAAGTATTCATATGCTCAGACATGTCCTGGGCATCTAAAAGATATTTTATGTATATCTTCTTTAGCCATTTTTATCTGATTATAACCATCATTCCCATCTATGAAAGATAGAACTTTGTGTTTTGCAACTGCATGGGTGTAGGGTGCTCATCTTTAGACGCGGCTCCATTATTGTTTTTATAGTCAACATAACATCGAACTGTATTAGTTATAACTTTTAATACAGGTATAATGTTGGCCAACCACTCGACATACTTAGCAAGCCTAATAAATCCAGCCTTTCAATCTCTTCTTTGACCTTTTCCTTTATCTCTTTTGACATTCTTTGTGGTGCTTGCTTTACATGTTTATATCCCTCCTTAATAAGCATCCTACGTTCTACTAAGATTGAATCTAAACCTGGCATTTCAATGTAATGCCAAGCAAAACAATCTTTAAACTCGTGTAGAAGGCTAACTATTTTTGCCCGATCTTCTACTTCCAGCAGGCCACTGATCTGTATAGGCCTTAGATCCTCCTTAGTTCCTAAATCAATGGTTTCTAAGGGGTCTTATACCTCTGGTGTTGGCTTGTCATGTTCTGTACACAAAAATTCAACTGACTCTGGGCCCTCGGGCATGTCATCGGGCCAATCCAAGTCATATATACACTCAGCCATGTGTATGGCCACCTCTGTCTCTTTCTCACAAAACTCTTATTCTCCTGTGTTTTGGCTATTTGAAGCTTCTTTCTTAGCTGAGCTCTCCCTTTCTTGCTTTCTCTCTCTCCTATACACCAATAGTCTCTTGATTAAGGACTTAACTACAACTGTTTGGTCTTTTCTTCTCTATTATGACATTACTGGTATTAGGGAGCCAGGACGATATGGGGTTTATCCTATTCTTCCCTAGTAAGAGACAATCCTTGTTCGTATAGCTTTTGGGTCGTCACCTTAGTCGGGCGGCCGTTCTCATTAGCTCATAGGCACTGCAGAATCTCAACACTGGGATTATAAAAGCTAGCTTCTGCAACATTGGTTGTAGGGAGAAATGGTCATGATTCGGCATCTACCATCTCCCAAAATCCTGGACCTATGGCCCCTGCCTCATGGTAAATAGCTACTTGTTAATGCAGGGTGGAGGGCACATAGAGACTTTGGTGAATCCAATCTTTAACAAGTAAGGCTCCATAAGTGGAACTACTATCTACCACGAAGAAGGCTAGCCTGATTTGCTTGGATCCCAAGTCAACTTCCAAGGGCAACATCCCAAGCGTTCTGGTAATGGACCTAGAGAAGCTACAGATTGTTAGGTCTGTAGGAATAAGATCTTCCTCACATTTTCCAACTTCTTCATCTGTTTCAACAGTATCACGTTCACCGTAGCTCCTCCATCAATCAAAATTTTCTTGAAGGGTACTCCTTCTAGATGAGTAGTTACATATATGGCCTTGAGATAGTTAGTTAGGGAGATACTCAGGTGGCTGAAGATTAGTCAAAATACACTCTCTCGGGCTCCATTCTTGAAAGTTTGGGTAAACCTGTCTGGCTGGATTCTTCTTTTCCTACTTCTTCAACACTAACATATGCATTCATAGGTTCTATTGCCAAGTAATCACCCTTCATTGTGGCAAGCTGATCAGGTTCGATGCAAAACATGGCAGATAGTACATATGTCATGTTTACATGGAAGTTGCTAGGTCTAGGTAAATCCTCATTATTTCCTCTAATATGGTCTGTAAACTCATATAACCAAGCGTGTGCTTCTTTTGGCAACATTAGTTTGGGCAATTCTTCCTCCCTAGTTATACCAAAGTTTGGCACTTGCCTCAGAATCTCACAAAGGGTCTCAAACAACAAAGGTGAGGATATTCCTCTCTGAGGTGAAATAGTCCCAAAACAAATTGGTTCTAGACTCTATCTTGGGGTTGACATCATCATTATATCTTCTTGAGCTCTCCTCAAGATTATGTACTTTCCAGGATGAGGGTTTTGTTGCACATGATTTCCTTTTCCCTCAATCTTATTATTGGCCATTTTCACCTCATTTTTGCTTCTCCATTGAAGTTGATTCCTTCCCTATGAGGGACTTCTTCAAACTTCACATTTTGCGAGGTTTCTGATGTAGCAGGGACCTTTAATGATTTCATATGGGTTTTGTGTTGCCTCTGGACTATCCTGATCATAGAAGCTCCCATTTCTTTTACTAGTTTTCCATCCTTCCCTCTTCCCTACTACACACCATTTTCGCCCGAGTTGGGCAGAATCTTTCTTAGTGACTAGGGATACTAGGTTCTTTGTTCTTCCTTTTACTCTAATAGCACCACCATCATAACTTGGTTAGGGAGCCCTTACCTCTATCCATTTTGGCATTTTTACCTCTCTATCCTCCACTTTTTCTGAGGTTTTATAGTTTCTGAACACTCAGACAACCCTTTTGGTTCAAAATCTCCTCCTAACCTTTGGAAAACATTTTTGGAGGTCTATTTCTCATTTGTCCGCATGATGCTTATGCATGCTTCTTGCTCTTCTTTCTCTCTTCTTCTGATCCACTCTTGATCAATAATAACTCCTGATACTGGCACTTCTAGCTCACATTCACATT